CATTTATACATTAATTTTATATTAACACACAATACGTTATTACACTCAGCCAGCGCGCCGTCGTGACGTATATCGCAAATGGAAACGAACATTCCGAGACCGGTTCTTTTGTTTTTGCCACCTCGTTCGACTCATGCACATCGTCCGAGTCTTACGGACCTCCCACCAGTCGGAACCTGCTCCTGACGCGAAGTGCATGTCGCTCGATGCCAACCGCTTTGAATTACCAGCTTACGTATTATTGTTTTTACTGTTAAATTATTACTGTGAACTTTCTCTGTTTCTTCTCTGTGCTATATACTTTCTTGCTAACTATTTGTGCTTGTGCTATATACTCCTTCTGTATATATATGGTGTTGCGTGAAATTCGAAGTAAATACCAAAAGACTGTGAGTAACTTTTTATTTTACCTACGCAACCCACATTGGTGACCCCGCTTTGAATACCAAAATAATGGATCGCAGAGAAAAATTCGAAGATGCAAGCAGCGGCAGCCACACCCAACAACTTAAACAGGGGGTAAGCGGAGAGCGCGCTTTCACTGACGCCTCCGACACGTCATCCGAAGTTTTTAAGGTAGGAGTGCGTGTACCACCTTTTTGGCCGGAAGAACCAGAAATATGGTTTGCACAAGTTGGGGGCCAATTTGCTATCTCTGGTATCACGAGCGATTTTACAAAATTTAGTTACGTTATCGGACAGCTAGACCATCAATTTTCCAAAGAGGTCAAAGACATTATTATCAACCCACCAGCCAGTGATAAATATATAAAGCTTAAAACAGAGCTCATAAAGCGTTTGAGTACCTCACACGAAAAGAAGGTGAAGCAACTTCTTATGCACGAGGAACTGGGTGACAGGAAGCCTTCACAGTTCTTGCGACACCTCCAGAGCCTAGCAGGACCCCAAGTACCAGACGATTTCCTGCAGACTATTTGGACCAGCCGGTTGCCGAGGAGCATCCAGACCGTACTAGCCGCGCAACCCAGCGCGTCATTGGAAGTGCTAGCAGATTTAGCAGACCGGATACAGGACATTGTACCGTCTTCACCGCAAGTCGCCTCTACGTGCCCGGCGAGTACATCCACACCAGGTCCCAGCTGCGACGCCTTAACAAGGGAAGTTGCTGAACTTCGTAAGCAACTGCAAAGACTGTCAACTCAGGTAAATAGGAGGCCCCGTTCCAGGAGCAGACACCACCAGCGTGGGCGTTCTTCATCAAGATCGCAGTCTCGATATAAAAAATTCCCACTTTGCTGGTATCACGCCAAATATGGTGGCCGCGCACATAAATGCCTGCCACCGTGTGATTTTAAGGCGGGAAACTTACAGGACGGTCATTAATGGCGACTGACGACTGTCCTAACACTACTGGTCGCCTATTCGTCACGGACCGCACCTCAAAAACACAATTTTTGGTCGATACAGGAAGCGACCTCTGTGTTTTTCCAAGGTCCTTAATTCGTGATCGTCGTGCAGCCACCAATTACGAACTCTGTGCAGCCAACGGGAGTACCATAAAGACTTACGGCTATGCCCACCTTACCCTAGATCTTGGACTGCGACGTAGTTTTAAGTGGCGTTTTGTGGTAGCTGATGTTACGAAAGCTATAATTGGTGTTGATTTCTTATCTTTTTATAACCTAATTGTTGATTGTCGAAACCAAAGATTAATAGATAGTACTACTACTTTAGTTACTAATGTATCTTTAATTTCTTGTCCAGATTCTGTTTCATCTGTGAAGGTTTCGACTGGCAGCTCGCGGTATCACAAAATTTTAGGTGAGTTTCCTGAAATCACGCGACCCGCTGGTACACAACACACGATAACACACAACACTATACACCACATTCGCACGACACCAGGCCCACCAGTAACTTCTTCTCCAAGACGCTTAGCACCCGATAAGCTCAAAATTGCTCGACAAGAATTCGAATCCATGTTAGCCAATGGTACAGCTAGGCCTTCAGAAAGCTCATGGTCATCGCCTCTTCATCTCGCACCGAAGAAAGACAACGGGTGGCGCCCGTGCGGGGATTATAGAATGCTCAATGCTCGCACCATCCCTGACAGGTATCCAATCAGACATATACACGACTTTACCCATAGTATAGCTGGTTGTAAGGTCTTCAGCACTATCGATCTGGTTAAGGCTTATAACCAAATACCTGTCAGTGAGTGCGATATCCCGAAAACCGCAATTACCACACCGTTTGGACTTTATGAGTTCCCTTACATGTCGTTCGGTTTGTGCAACTCAGCGCAAACCTTCCAACGATTCGTGGATGAGATGACCAGGGGCTTAGAATTTTGTTACTGTTACCTTGACGACTTTCTAATATTTTCACGAAACGAAGAGGAACACGAGAAACATCTTCGCGAAGTATTTAACAGACTCAAGAGATATGGGATGCTTATAAACACCTCTAAGTGTATTTTTGGTGTTGACGAAGTCAAATTCCTTGGTTGCCGTATTTCGGAAAGTGGCACCAAGCCCCTTACAGAAAAGGTGCAGGTCATTCTGGATTACCCACAACCCAAGGACGTACGTCAGTTGAGGAGATTTTTGGGTATCATTAATTTTTATAGGCGATTTCTACCCAATGCCGCCCAAACACAAGCGCCTCTTAACAACCTCCTGACTGGTGCTGTCAAAGGTCGCCAACCAATAACTTTGACAGACAAAGAAATCAAAGCTTTTGAAGACTGCAAACGTAGTCTGTCTAATGCAGCTTTATTAGCCCATCCAGACTGCGAAGCCAAATTGGCATTAGTAACAGATGCGTCGGACGTAGCTATAGGTGCCGTACTTCAACAGCTGAAAGGCGGAGCATGGCAACCACTTGCGTTCTTTTCGCGTAAGTTAAGCCCAACTCAGCAGAGGTATTCCCCATATGACAGAGAGTTATTAGCTATATATGAAGCTATAAAATACTTTCGTCATATGGTGGAGGCGAGACACTTTACCATCTATACTGACCATAAACCGATCAGTTTTGCATTCCATAAAAGGAAAGACAACTGCTCGCCTCGTCAGTATAGACAGTTAGACTTCATAGCCCAGTTCACAACCGACTTAAGGCATATATCTGGCAAAGATAACATTGTTGCCGACACCTTAAGTCGCATTGAGGAACTGGAAGCGCCCGTCGATCTCGCCACCTTAGCCGAGTCCCAAGCCAATGACGTAGAACTTGCCCAGCTTATAAAAAGTGGTTCGTCGTCACTCCGTTTTGAACAGTACAATATTCCTGATTGCAGTACTACATTGTACTGTGACATAAGTACACCAACCCGTAGACCATTTGTGCCCAACATCCTTCGCAAACAGGTCTTTGACAGTCTTCATTCCCTGAGCCATCCTGGAGCAAATGCCACTGCTCAAATGGTAGCAGAACGCTACGTTTGGCCAGGTATGAGGAAGGACTGCCGAGACTGGGCTAAAACTTGTATTGCCTGTCAGCGTTCCAAGGTAAGCCGACACGTATCCTCACCTTGGGGTACTTTCGCCTTGCCTCGCACGCGTTTTAGACACGTCCATATAGACCTCATTGGTTCACTTCCATGGTCAAAAGGCTACCGCTACTGCCTCACCGCAATCGACCGTTTTACGCGATGGCCTGAGGTAGTACCAATAGCCGACATTACAGCCGAAACTGTTGCACAAGCTTTGCTATTCCATTGGATCGCTCGCTATGGTTGTCCTGAGGAAATTGTCACAGACCGAGGACGACAATTTGAATCAGCCCTGTTTCAACATCTATCAAAAACAGCTGGCTTTCAACATAAGCGCACAACAGCTTATCATCCTGCGTCCAATGGAATAGTCGAACGATTTCATCGACAGTTAAAAGCCGCTATTATGTGTCATGCTGAAAGTGGTTGGACTGAATCACTGTCATGGGTCCTACTGGGCATACGCAGTGCTTTTAAGGCTGATCTGCAAACGTCTTCCGCAGAACTCGTATACGGCGAGCCTCTTCGATTACCTGGAGAATTCTTTGAACCTAGTACAGATGGCCCTGTGGACATCACTGAGTTCACTGCACGACTCCGTAATATCGCCAAGACTTTGCAACCGGTACCAACAACTCGGCACAACACCGAGAAGACATTTGTTTTTTAAAGATCTAAATTCTTGCGACTATGTTTTTCTTCGCGAAGGTGCTTTGCGAAGTTCTTTACAACCTGCTTACACCGGTCCACATAAAGTCCTCACACGCGGTAACAAAGTGTTTAAGCTTCTGGTCAAGGGTAAAGAAGTCACTGTATCGATAGACCGACTAAAACCGGCCTACATACTCACAGACAAATACACTCTACACACACCACATAACCCAATCATTCCCACACCAACACCACACATAGAAACACAACGCGTAACACGCTCTGGACGCCGAGTTCGGTTTCCAGACTATTATCGCCCATAGGATGGTCTCTGGGGGGGAGTGATGTAGGCTATTCTCCTACATTTATAAAATTATATATTTATAACATTTATAATTTTTAGCATCATACTATTATATTTATTTATTAATATTAAACAGTATTAATTTTATATCTATAATATTTATATAAAATATTATGTATATGCATTTATACATTAATTTTATATTAACACACAATACGTTATTACACTCAGCCAGCGCGCCGTCGTGACGTATATCGCAAATGGAAACGAACATTCCGAGACCGGTTCTTTTGTTTTTGCCACCTCGTTCGACTCATGCACATCGTCCGAGTCTTACGGACCTCCCACCAGTCGGAACCTGCTCCTGACGCGAAGTGCATGTCGCTCGATGCCAACCGCTTTGAATTACCAGCTTACGTATTATTGTTTTTACTGTTAAATTATTACTGTGAACTTTCTCTGTTTCTTCTCTGTGCTATATACTTTCTTGCTAACTATTTGTGCTTGTGCTATATACTCCTTCTGTATATATATGGTGTTGCGTGAAATTCGAAGTAAATACCAAAAGACTGTGAGTAACTTTTTATTTTACCTACGCAACCCACAGCATTTCGCATCTACTAGAGCCAACAAAACAATAGAAAATGTTGACTTATAATTAAAAAATAAAGATCCGCTGTTCGGTGGCGCTTCAATCACTACATGTTTACCGTCTAGTGCTCCTAAGCAGTTTGGGAAATTCCACAGTAGCCAGAAGTCTTCAGCAACCGCTTTCCACATTTCCGTAGTCATCTCGGGTAATACCTCACTCATTAATTGGTCAACAATAATTTTGCATGTCTCTTTGACAATTTTATTAACTGTGCTATGACCTAAACGGTAGCTAAATGATATTGTCATATGTGAGTCACCAGTGGCCAAAAATCTAAAAAAAGCAAAATGTAACTTAAACTTTATTGTTAATAAATATATTTTTTAATTTTTTAGATTGGGTCTCCTGCAAACAAAGATGGACAAATATAAGAGACCAGTACAAAAAAAATATAAAAAGTCAAAAAACTGTTACTGGCCAAGCTGCAAAGAAAATCAAACTGTATAAGTTTTCTGAACAACTTCAATTTCTCAAGGGTGTTGACGAAGATAGAGATTCTATAAGCAATTTTGTACAATTCAGTGAAACGATACCTTCTCCATCATCTGAGATACAATCTATGAGCAACGATTTAATTGACATAAATCAGCAGTTAAATTTGCAGGACCACGATGATGTTGTTGTTAGTCCATTGCCTACGTCATCAGCAATGTCACCAGCAACATCTTCGGCTACAAATGAACAAGCTGAGTCTCCACTAGACTCTCCATTATCAGCGACTCAGACGACTAAGCGTTTGAAAAAAAAGATGTCTGGCCCCGATAGTGAATCTGCTTCAAGTATTTTAATGAAATATGTTCTTATGAATAATAAAAACAAAATTAAAGAAAGAGAAGAAGAGGAACATCCTATGGACGCATTTTTGAAGGGACTAGCACCAACATTGAAATCATTTTCTCCTTATTATCAACATTTAGCCAAAGGACAAATTTTTAAAGTAATTCACGATTTGGAGCTTCAACAATTGACTGAAAATTTAATTTCATCGTCTCCATCTACACCTATTATAATGTCATCTCCTTCGCCTTCATCTTCATCAATGCCAGTTATTTTGTCATCTCCTCCGCAGTCTTCTGAACAACCAAAGACAACAGAGTCAATACAATCTTACTTCTCGCAGTATAAGCTCAGAGAGTATGATAGTACAAAGAATTAATATACCAAAATTTTAAAATAAATATGTAAAAATAAAGTGTTTATTATTTACCGTAAACATACAGCCAATCGTTCACGGGGTGTGATGGCTCTTTTCATAAAAGTGTACTTCTTATGTAAGTGAGGGCTTAGCTTGTTTTCCAGTAAAGCAAAACATTCTTTTGTCATACGAAAATACATATAAAATTGAGTCTCGTCATCCAAAAGTTCTTTGTAGAGAGTGTGGTATTCACCTTCTTGTTCTCTTTTCTGCCACGTAGGATGTACAGAAAATCTCCTTTTACTCTTGACGGTTGTAGCTTCTTCATCATCTAAAGCAATAGCAATTAATGCCAATTCTTGAAATGAAAAATTCATCTTTCACAACACTAGCACGTTAGTTTCGAGTCACTGTCACGGTGCGTATGCATTAAACTCCCGTCCGTGTTGACATACAACCACGTTCCGTCTCCGTCCCGTGCACGTGCTGATTCCGTCCTGTATGCAGCGACCTTTAATCTGTTACATATATTTTGTATGAATCAATTTATATTACACAGTGCATTATCCGTGTCCCATCCGGGCCCGCTCGACTCACTTCAATACCACGTTTGTTGCAAGGTCCTGCCCCGCCCCTCCCCCCCACGTCCCGTCGTAATCCGAACATTCTTCCGTGCTGCGTCCGAGCACTGAGCGACGAATGTTTAGTGAGGGTACACGCACGTGCAAGTTTGTTTTACAGAAGATTTTGGAAACTGAGTTTCTTTTGTTGCAATATTATTCCATCCATGACTTTGCGGATAATGGATGATGAAAAATTAATTGAACAAGTCTGAAAGTATCCGGAGTTGTATGACATGTCCCATCAAAAATATATGGATACAAAATTCAAAATGTCATTATGGAGGACAATTGGCAATGAATTAAATGAAACGGGTGAGTATGTATTTTCTGCCGACTTCCAAAAAGGAGCCGGTACTCAATTCGACTGTATGTTTTTTTTTTTCGTTTTTTTTTTTTTATGTGTGTTACCTCAGAACTTTTTTCTGGGTGAACCGATTTCGATGATTCTTTTTTTATTTGAAAGCTGGTACTTCTCGTGTGGTCCCATATGAATTTGATCAAGGTCAGACCAATAGTTTTTAAGTTATTCTTAAATAACTTATATTGAAGTCGGCTGTACAAAATTTTTAATTTTAAATTATAATCAATTTATTTAAGAATTACTCATATAGTTTTTTAGGGTTACGTTTCCTTAGATTCTATATAAAACAAAGTAAATCATTTATTGCAACTGTAAACACACATACATATATTAAACCACATACAACAATGAGGAATACAATCAATATTCGTCTATTATTCGTACAAATACTTACGAGTATACTCTGTTCAAAATGCAGTTAGACAAAATGTAAACATAAAGACAACCTAAAACGTATTTTTTATATTTTACTAAATGTATTTTTTATACCTAGATCATATTAGAAAGACTACTTAAGAGAAAGAAAACAAGATTTTATTCAAATCTGCACGACGTCGTATCAAAAAAGTTTGTTCTTTGTTTTCATTTTGTATCACTTCATTTTGAACGGAGTTTATTATTTGTTTATTTTTAAGATTTTTTTATTTATTATTTGTCACTTAAGACGAGGATCTATGCGAAAGTGCTGCCCCCACTAGAAATAAATCATTTGACATGAAATTCAATGTCGTATCAGTTTTATTTATTACTTGCAACATATTATTATGTACTACTAGCAAACATGCTTTTTTATGTACCTTTATAGAAAACTATAATAATTATGATTGTTTGTTTGTTTGTTATTTTTTTTTGTACAATCAGTTATGGGATATATGTGTCCAGACTAGTATACTGTTTAGTATAGCAACCTGGATACATATTAATCCTATAACCAACTGTACTTATTAAAAATATCCGATGGTGATGAAAAGTAGTTCTTAAAATTTGCTCTGACCGCAAATGCATCGTCAGTATATTGTCTGTGATGTTGTGGTCCTAGTGGATTAAGAATAGACTGCCTTAATTCTGATATAGATGGTTCTGTATAACGTGGTGTAAAAGCCATGTCATTTTTGCTGCGTAAAAAGTTATGAAGTATGCAAGTCGCTAATATAATATTATCAACATTTTTTGGTGCCATTTTGATTCTTCTAAAAAACAATCTGAATCTTTGTGCTAAAATACCAAAAGCACATTGAACTAGACGTCGTGCTAGCGTTAATCTGTTATTAAAATGTGACTTAGCAGCATCTTCTACTTAACGCTTCATCGGCTACTATAACGAATGGTGTAATAATATCCGAGTTAGGCAATTGCCTTGTTGCAGCTAAACGTACATTTAGTGTTCCATTTTCTAGTCGTTGTCCTAAAGAAGACTTTGCAAAAATGCCACCATCACTATTTCTTCCATATGATCCAACGTTAACTGTAATATATTTGTAACGCGCGTCAAAGTGTTCTTATAGTTATAAAATATAGAACGGCTATTAGGTGATGCCTCAATGACAAAATGCTTTCCATCCAAAGCCCCAACACAGTTAGGAATTTTCCACAAAGTTTCAGTCATGTGCTATCTGTTTCCAATTATCTTCTGATAGTTGGGGCATAACTTTTAGTACATTAACAATAGCAAGACACGTGTTGTTTACAATTTCATGGACAGTTGTATGACCCAACCGAAAACTGAATGAAATAGTCAAGTAGGAATCTCCAGTTGCCAAGTATCTGAAATACAAGATTTCAAATTTTAAATATAAAGGGAATACATATCACATAAGTTTGAGACCTGTGTTAGAGGATACTTACTTAACAATACTATATTAAATAAATAAATATTTTATAATAAATACATATACAGATAAACGTCTAAAATCCTGAACATTTTTCCAACTTGCTCAACCGAGATTCAAATTGGGGACTTCCGAATGGTAAATCGAGCATGTTTTCCGTTTTACTATGGAGGTCGTCTACTTAACCCTTAATTTGATTTCGTTAAGTATACTCAACACTCGAATCAAAAAAATATAGTACTATGTTTTTGTCGCGGTTTAATTTTTTTTGTTTTTATATAATTTGTAATTTAGTATTTTTGGTAGAAAAAAATATTTGAACCAGGTAGCAACACTAAATTTGACAGTACCAAGCAAAAATGGCGACCAGGCGAAACACGCTGCGGACTGTGCAGGTAATTTTACATTTTTTTTGTGTTAAGTGTCTAAAAATAATAATTATGACAATTGTTTATATTTCTATAATATATATCTAATGTTTAATTATCATTTTCAATTCTATACGCTATGAGATATAAACACAATAGGTATGTAAACATGAATGTTGAGTATCATTAACAAAGTTCGGTGGTGTGTAATTGAGTGTGATAAACGTATGTTGAGTATACTCTACAAATTTGCATGGTGGGATATGTGATGGCAGTTTTGTTTGTTAAGGCTGCTTAACAATAATAAGGAATTTGGTGTTCTTATTTTATTTATAATATGCATAGCTTTTCTCTTTTTACGCAATACTTTAATTTCCACCATATAATATTCCTTTCCGAGCAATATTATCATGTATATTGTGTGCGATAAAATGCTTGCTTTGTTTTTTGCCTGCAAAATAAAATTCTTGTTTCAGAATTTGAGGTCAAAACGTATTTTGGCCCTTGTACCCCAAGAAAACGCTCAATCTGATATAAGTGGGACATCGAACTCTGAGAATGAGCTTGAAGACGAAGTGTACAACTTTCAAAGTCGAGCTTCTGAGTCATCTGAAGCACCATCAATTGACTCTGCTTTAGAACGGCTCGATATAGATTTTTCCGATGACAATTATCCGAATACGGCTCCGACTGATCACACAGGATATGATGAGACTGACAATTATGATGATGACCACCAAGCAAATAACTTTTCACTGACATCCATAAGTTCTTTACCAACACTTTCTCCAATGTCAAACATACCTTCTATGACGCCATCATTTATAATCAACCAAGTAAGTGACTCTCCCCAACAATCTCCATGTAATTCTACTTCAACACCTCTTCCAAATCGTTATACTCGAAAACGACGCCGTCAGCAAAACTCGGTCTCGAAAAGGCCTTGTATTGTTACTAAAAATAAGAAAGTCAACCTCAAATTTCAATGGTCAAGCGGACGTTTTCGATTTCGTGCCGAATTAGAACCCGATAAGTTTGAAAATCCTATACCTGATGGAAAAACAACATTAGATTATTTCAAAGACTTTTTTTCAGAAGATATGTTCGACGAAATATGTCACTACACAAATATGTATTCCATTCAGAAAACAGGCCGATCAATAAATTTGTCAGGTGCCGAATTGCGCAAATTTATAGCAATTAAAGTCATTACGGGTATCGTGTCCATGCCTTCATATCTGGATTATTGGGCTACTGACACCCGTTTCCCACTGGTTGCGGATGTAATGTCTCTAAAGCGTTATCAAATTATACGGAGATACCTACATTTTGTAGATAATATAGATACTGACTCCGATCCATATTTTAAAATAAGACCAGTAGTGGAAAAAATCCGTGCAAACTGCCTGAAAGTAGAAGAAGAGACTAGATTCAGTATAGATGAAATGGTGATTCCATATAAAGGCACCAAAGCTGGGAAAAAAAGACAGTATAACCCGCGCAAGCCACGAAAATGGGGCTTTAAAAATTTGGTGCGAGCAGGTGCATCAGGGATTATTTACGATTTTTTTCTTTATACTGGTAACGATAATTTTGGGGATTGTAACTTTACAAAGGAAGAAGAAGGCTTAGGTTGGGGGGCCAAGGCTGTTTTGAGACTTTGTAAAAGCATAAAGAAAAAACCTTGTGTCGTCTACTTTGACAACTTTTTTTCTTCTTTGGATTTAATACACCATCTCAGGAATTTCTACGGAATATTTAGTCTTGGTACAATGCGTACAAATCGCCTGAGAGATGCCGGAAAATATCTGAAACCAGACAAGGTTCTCAAAACTCAGGGCAGAGGGGCTTTTAGTCAAACTGTTTGTAATAAAACCAAACTCTCTGTGGTCAAATGGAACGACAATAAATGTGTTGTACTGGCTTCAAGTTACGCAGACGCATATCCACTAACTAAGGTACGAAGATACTGCAAAATTAGGAAGCAGAGGATTGAGGTACAGTATCCTAATGTTCTTATGCATTATAACGCCCATATGGGCGGCGTCGACCTGTCAGATATGCTGATAGCTTTATATCGCACCGAAATGAAGACCAGGCGCTGGTATCTATCGATTTTTTCGCAATTACTTGATATATGTATTAATAATGCTTGGTTGACTTACCGAAGGGATAATAAAAGAAAGGGAGAGATTA